GTAATGGTGACACGAGACTTGTAGCTCGGTTAAAAACTCTCATTTAACACAGTTTTGAATTCGATTCTCTACATTTCTAGTATCGTTCCGCTTGTATTAAATAAGGAAAGAGAAAGAAAAAAAAACAATTTGATAAAATAGTGCTAATTTGTCAATTACTTAAGGTAATATCCAACTGAGTTGTCCGAGTTAGTGTGTTGTGTTCATTTTTCTTTGGTGTAATGAGTTATGTTTGTCCCAAATATCCAATACGATACGAAGGGAACCTCAACTTGCTTTGGTTTCAAGTGAACAAAAATCTCGAAAGTAAAATATGGCTAAAGCATCCTCCTCCTCCAGCTCCTCATCCTGATTCCTGGACACCATTCACAATCCTCCCGCCACTTCGAAACGTTTCTCAGCCGCCTTCATATCGTTTCACAAATTACAGACCCCATGTGATTGCTTATTATTTAAAGTTCATATTTTTGAACTCCAGCGTTCAAAAATCAAAACTAGAAGCCAGAAGAAGGGTAAATCACAGATTTTGAGTAAGTTTCTGATATGGGTTTTCAACTTTTCACTTTTGGTGAACTGGGTGTTGTTTGGATTAATATTTAACTTAAAACTTCAAGGGAAGAAAAGCTCAAAAAAGCTCAATAAAGGAGATTTTGCCCGAAGCCTAACACCAAGCCCAGATACCCATCTTTAGACAATATGATGGCTCCTCATTAAATGCAAATGTTAGGTGCTTACAACGGAAGTGACAATCGATAGAAATCAACCGACTCTTGACCCAAAAACACTTTTCCGAATGGCAGAACATGTAAAAATGCTGATGACTCACTACCCTTTAATTGCTTTCGGACAAGAGCAGAAATGGTGTAGTCGGGCTAATTCACCTGTAAATAGGGGAAGAGGGTCCAAAGACAAGAACACTCAACCAATCAAACAAACATACATACAACTTGCCTCTCAATCAAGCAAATATCCAGAAATATGTGATTTGTCCAGATTATGCACCCTTTTAACCTTAGACTTCCTTTAGAAAGACATCTTTTGTCTATGTAAAAACTCTGCTATCTTCAAATGTTATAGTATCGATTCTCTTGTGTAAACTCATTTACCACTCATCCATCTTTCAGTACCTAACCCTTTAGAACTAGAACAACAAAGAGATTCCAATACGTTTAACCTTGCCCAATAAGGTGAAATCTTGCCCGCCTCTCTTTGTTTTGTCTTTCAATTAATAGTTATGGTGTTGTAATGTATTCCCTAGTATATATTCAAGTCATTTCCAGTCTTTTGATGATTCAAAGTTCCATCAGTTCTCATATATGTTTCACTTAATGGTTTTATTGTCATAAGAAGATTAAAAGTGAATTAAAATTGATGACTTGATCAGATATGGATTTCCACCCTTTAAGCATACAAGATAAAGAACTAAAAGTCCTTGATCTCAAGGCATAAAAAAGAACTTAATGTAGACTTAATCCATCTACGACAATCCTTTAATAACAAAAAGTTAGAATAACTTGGGGCACAAGTAATCTACTTAAATACACTTGTTCTACATCTGCCATATAGAGATGGCAATGACACGCCTTAACACTTAGTTTTGATTGCGAGCCTCAAGGCCTACACCTAAGGCCCTACAAAAATACCTTTCAGAACTAATTTTGCCCTCTTCTTGCAGCATCTCGACAAGCCGGAGCCCGACAATCAATCAAAGTGCCGACAATCAATCAAAGTGCCAACTCTTTGGGACGCTATGTGCTCGAGCCAGGGACCTTGTTCAGCTAGATTTCCTGCCCGAACAAGTGTGTGGTTTATTGGTGTTTTTTCACTGTTTCTGTCAGTAAGGCTGGATTTTTTTTTTCCGCATGCAGGTTGGAATGGGAGTGTGAGATGGGTTTTTGTTGACGTTTGAAGATCTGGTTTTGTTAGGATGACTGAGGAGTAAGGAGGAAGATGGAACCAACTGTTGTCACATACAATGCCATTATCAGTGGGTTTGCAAGAAACGGTTTTAGCAGTGCTGCATACGAATGGTTTGACCGCATGAAAGCTCAGAACATCCCTCCAAATGATGATTGAGGCTCTCGCAAACGAAGGGAAGCCGAGACTTGCATATGAGCTATATTTAAGAGCTCAAACTCAGCGCCTTGCCCTCTCCTCAAAAGCTTATGACACAGTGGTTCAGTCCTCACTGGAATCCGGTGCTAACATTGATGTAAGACTCTTAGGCGAACGGCCACCAGAGAGAAAGGGGAATGTGCAAGGTAGAAACACTTCCAGCCAAGTTTCCTAAAGGTTCCGAAGTTTCACAACTCCCAAGCGATGCAAAAACATTTGTAGCGAGGAAGTATACGCTGTACAGACACAAAACAACGAGGTATTCGTTACTACGAAGTATGAAGTTTCTGTTGCTTTTTGTTCATTCGTCTCTGTACACTTCCCATGATTGCATTGCAACAAATACACCCAACTCGTAAAAAATTTAGTTTGTTTTCTACTTACAACGCGGATAAACTTCTTCCTTGTGTCGAAAACTGTAATGCTAGAGAGATGACATTGGTAAACATGGTCTCGCTAGCATTTTGCGTGCAGCAAATTAGAGATTTGAATATGGTAATATAGATTAGATGCTATTAAATCATCATCTTGAAGTGCCAGAAGGAATATATGGTGGAAACCTTTACAACCTTTCCAGGAATATGTGGTGGAAGTTAATTAGATGATTAATATCTGGATTCCATTGTATTTAAAGTAAAAAGAATATAAAAAAGATAATATTTTGTATACAATGCTGGGTCATCTGAACCAGAGTTGAGATCCTCTCATGACGTCACTGTCTAGAGTCTAAGGATCAGCAAATCTGGACCGTTTAAGAGAAAGAGATTTGAATCTTTGATTTGTGGGAGGGGGCCATCAAAATGAGTTAATGGGGCTGTTGATTTCAATTTAAGTGGTCCGGTTTGCTGAATCATGGACTTTGAACATTAAAATCTGAAAAGGATCTCAACTCATCTAAATCATATCTTTTAAGGTATAAGATAGGAATCATGTTTGTCCACTAATTTGGTGTATCCCACTTCACTCTTACGCTGCCTCCTTTTCTTTGGCATCCTTAAAGCAGAGCCTGACGTTTCATGACATCTTGCATTTGATTATATTTGTGATGAATTATTTTATTTTATTGTTCTCGTTGGCAAATTGCTTTAAATTACCATGTCTTTTAACGGGCTTTATCCTTATTCTTTATAAGAAATAAGAATTAATCTAACTTGGCAATTAGAACATTGTTCAGTCGCGGATTCAAGATTTGAATTTTAGAGATCTTAGTGTTAAATACAAGTTTTTTTTAGATAGGAACAGAGTGCAAACTACGCAAAAAATAAAAACCAGTCTATCCACTTGGCGGGCTTGTTGTGCAGATGTCAACAGACACAAACATATGCCGAAACAATTTGATGATTGATATAGAAAGAATTTGTCGAGTGTTGTCGACGTAACATGTCGAGATATGCCTAGCATGCATTATATCAAATGTTTAGTAGGCACACAAAAGACTCGTACCAATCATTCAACGGGTCCCGAAAAGACCTTGACAAATATATTTTCTAGACTCGAGTGGACCACCTTGGTCCCTATTTCCATCCGCCCCTGACAACATTCTTTTTTTTAATTTTTTTATTTATTCAAGTTTGAGTCTAATTCCATCTAGTTTAGATAAATTGTTGTAAATTATCGTTCATATTAAAATCAATTATAAACTTATTTCTTTTTATTGCATCGTTAACAAATGCTACCAAATGAAGAAATTCTTTAATTCAGCCTGTGAATCACTTCATAACGTCGTAGTGACATGTAGGTTTCCAATACGAAACCCGCCTCTTTGTACGTGTGATTAGATGGGCAACATAATCCACCTGGCCGACCAAAGGTTTGCACCTTCATAGGAAGTGGTAAGAATTGGACGCTTGAGAATTAAGCAATCTGCAGATAAGTCCACATCATTTAAACTCCTAAGTTGGCAACGACCAACGGCCTAGAAATATTACCTTCCTAGGTTGGAACGCAAAAGCAACTGAAATATTGACAGATGCGTGTTGTCATGCCTAAAGTCGCTGTCTTCCTTATTTTATTGGATGTCGCAACTGGGGTCCTCAATTGAATGGGATCCTCAGTTGGCGTCGACAAGAAGAGATTTTTTAGTGTGATCGAAACACACATAGTGGTACATCATGTGTTACAATATAAATAGTAAGATATGTGTGTTAAAAAGTTAATAAATTAAAAAATACAATTTTTCACGACTTGTATAAAAACACGTGATGTAATATCAGTATTTCGGTCGGAAAGAAAAATTTCTCGTGGACAAGAGACACTTGGTTATGAACTTATGAGAGAACTCTAATAGGCAGGCGCTTATCCGTTTTAAAAGAGAGTACCGAATTGCAAGGAAAATTCTTGTAGTGGACACATCCGAATCTGATCACATGCTTTTGAGTGTGTGGAGCCTGTAGATTGGAGGCTGTCTAAAAAAATTGATCAAATCTATCAAAGTATTGTTTGGATTTTGATTATTTCAAAATTATTTAAGTCGAAAAATGTTCTCAAATATATTATGGGGCGAACTTGTGAAACCAATTTTTTTATATAACTTTTTACGTTTGTTTTTGTAGAGTTTAGTTTGTTATTTATTTTTAACTATTTGAACTGTCTATATTTTTGCGCGATATATTTGTGTTAGGAATATAACTCAACAATATGGGCAACTTATCAAGATGATATTGATCTAATGGTGACACGAGACTTGTAGCTCGGTTAAAAAGTTTTATTTTACACGGTTTTGAATTTGATTCTCTACTTTTTTAAGTATCCGTTTGTATTAAATAAAGGTAGAAAAAGAAAAAAAAAAGCAATTTGATAAAATAGTGCTAATTTGTCAATTACTTAAGGTGATATCCAACTGAGTTGTCCGAGTTAGTGTGTTGTGTTCAATTTTCTAATTTTTTGGAAACTTGTGTTCATTTTTCTTTGGTGTAATGAGTTATTTTCGTCCCAAATATCCAATACGATACGAAGGGAACCTCAACTTGCTTTGGTTTCAAGTGAACAAAAATCTCGGAGGTAAAATATGGCTAAAGCATCCTTCTCCTTCAGCACCTCATCCTGATTCCTGGACACCATTCACAATCCTCCCGCCACTTCGAAACGTTTCTCAGCCGCCTTCATATCGTTTCACAAATTACAGACCCCATGTGATTGTTTGTTATTTAAAGTTCATATTTTTGAACTCCAACGTTCAAAAATCAAAACTTGAAGCCAGAAGAAGGGTAAATCAGAGAGTCTGAGTAAGTTTCTGATATGGGTTTTCAACTTTTCACTTTTGGTGAACTGGGTGTGTGGTTTATTGGTGTTTTTTAACTGTTTCTGTCTGTAAAACTGGTTTTTTTTTTTTCTTTTTCCCGCCTGCAGGTTTGAATGGGAGTGTGAGATGGGTTTTTGTTGATGTGTGAAGATCTGGTTTTGTGAGGAGGACTGAGGAGTAAGGAGGAAGATGGAACCTCCAAGGGGTGTTTTGGCTACTCTGTGGAACTTCATCTGCTTTCTTCCTTACTTCATTGGCCTTCTGATTCTTGGCAGCATTAAAGGTAACTCAAAAACTGATTGTGTGGTTGTTTTATGGATTAATTTCTGAGTTTTAATGGAAAATTGATAACTTTTTGGAACTTTTATGTTGTTATTTTCCTGAAAGTTTACAACTTGGGTTCTTGATTTTCATTTCCCATTTAGTCGAATCGATGTTTTCTGCTGGTTCCGGGCTTGGCAGTTGTTTGGCTGTTTTGAATCCATTGCATGTAATAAGAACTCTAGGCCTTGTGGATACATTCCGAATGTTGCTTTGAGAAATTTGAATCGGCTTCAATCTTGAAATGGTTTGTTAATGTTGATATTAGGAGTTGATTGATTAGTTAAGAGACATTTGCTTGAAAGAGTGATATAAGGAAGGCATTTAAAACCTAATATCCAAATATTGTTTCAGGTATCGTTTTATGCCCGTTGATATGCCTCATCATGACAGTAGGAAACACCGGTATCATACTCGGTCTTTGGCCAATACACTTTGTCTGGACCTATTATTGCGTTTTGAGGTGCGTCCCTTGGCCTCTATCTTCTAATTTCTATGTTTCATAGTTATCTCTCTCTCTTGAATCTCATTCTCATGTTGTGTTTAAAGCAATAAAACAATAAGAATAACTTCCTCGCGATTCTTCTTTTTATATATCTATTTTTTTTCAGATCTAAGAGATTAGGGCCAGTACTGAAGATTGTCATCTGCTTATGTGTACTACCTAGCGTCTTGATCTTGTGGCCAGTGGTCGGGATTGTTGGTAGTATTGTGGGTGGAGCAGCATTTGGCTTTTTTTCTCCGATAATGGAAACTTTTCAAGCTGTTGGAGAAGGGAAGACCGATCAATTGTACCACTGCTTTTATGTATGTCTCCAATTTTCATGTTGTCTCATAATTATTTTGTTCTTGTTCCTTGCCGATCGTTCTGTTCTTGTTGCCTCTGTAGCAGAGATTCATCTTTCACAACATTTTTCAGGATGGAACTTGGAGCACTGTCAAAGGGTGCTTCACTATTGTGAGGGATACCAGGGATGTATGTTACTACACTTACTTCTCAATTATGGATGACCTGCAACACGGAGGTCCTCCGGTCACAAAATATTATGAGATTAGGTATGTTGTCTTGTTCTGCCCAAAAACTACTGCTTACTTATTTATGTTTCTATTAGAATATCAATCAGTCAAGTTAGCGATGAAGAAAGAATACGTGATAAGTGTCCTTAACAGTTCAGTTTCATTGATTTTTGCTCTTGTGGTGCAGCCGTTTTGTCTTTTTGTTAGACCTATTCATCATGATCCTTCTTTTCGTCTGACCAGGAAGTTTTTCAACCTTCTTGCAGGCTGCTATATTTTCCTGGGGCTGTTATATTAGCAGTCCTTGGTTTCATGGTTGATATGCCAGTGATCTCATTTATTGCCCTATGCAAATGCCCGTACATGCTCTTCAAGGGGTGGCACCGTTTGTTTCATGACCTTATAGGTCGTGAAGGCCCTTTCTTGGAAACAATATGTGTTCCATTTGCGGGTCTTGCCATCCTACTCTGGCCGTTGGCTGTTGTTGGGGCAGTGTTGGGATCTATGGTGGCTAGTATCTTTCTTGGTGCTTACGCTGGAGTGATCGTTTATCAGGTTATTCATTGCTCATTTTTTTCTCTGACATACTTGGTTGATGTAAGTTGCGTATATTCAGATATTTTTTTTTTGTGGTTAGAACATGAAATATGTTTAGATTGATTGATTATGTTGTTCATAAGTATAGCTGGAGTCAAACACGTTTGAAACTGGAGAAAATATATCAACATTTCCCCACTTGGAAACACAATAACCATGCATATCAGATAGCAGGATCTTGACACCAATTCAGAAGTGGAGATTTTTCTTATGTCCTTCAGTCCTCCTCACGTAGATTGCAAGTATTAAGATATTTTATAACCTTTATGTTACAGGAATCCTCAATTTGGTCAGGGCTTTGCTATATCGTTGCATCGCTGGCCATATATGATGAACACAGCAATGACATCCTTGACATGCCGGAAGGATCCTGCTTTCCAAGGTTCTAGTCAGCACTCTATACTCTAAAGTTCTGATATGTGGGTGTCTTGTACTTTGACATTATGTAATAGATTTCTGTAATGACAGGCCAAAGTACCGAAAGAAGGCTGAATTGCTCCGGACCAACTCTCTCTCACTCTCTGTCTCAAGGCCCGGCTCTTTTAAAAATGCTCCCACCCGCTCAGCTTCATTCACTGGTCCTATCATTGAATTGAAGCCCCTTGAGGTACTCTGTGTGTATTATCTGGATGCGTTTGATGATGCGTGGGCAAAAGTATACAGTTTTGAGTTCTGAAAGAACATCCTATTTAGTTCATGGTTTCGGTGCTCATTGAACAACTTTCTTGGCCTGTGTAGTTCATTGATACCTTATTTAAGGAGTGTAAACACCATGGTCAAATATTGGTTGCTGACGGAACTATTACGCTTCAAGACCTTGAAGACGCCAAGTCCAGTCAAGGCAGCAGAGTCATTAGCATTGGCTTACCAGCATATTGCCTTCTTCAGACACTACTGCGATCCGCAAAAGCCAATTCACCAGGAATATTGTTAAGTAAGTCGAATTCTTTTTTCCCTCGCCAGTTAACTTAACAGACCAAATAAACACTTTATTTGATATACTTACTAACTTACTATTAATTTTTATGCGTGATTGATGCAGGTGACAATGGTACCGAGATAACTAGCACAAACAGACCAAAAGAAAAGTTTTTTGATTGGTTTTTCAATCCGCTGTCGATCATCAAGGACCAGATAAAAGCAGAAAACCTTTCCGAAGCAGAAGAGGCTTACCTTTGCAAATTAGTTCTGCTGACTGGGGATCCTTTGAGGTTGAAACAATCGAACATTGGCAAACCACCGGAATCAGAGCGTAAACAGGCTGAACTTGACGCATTGGCTCGAAGGTACTGATGCATTTTTTCTTGTATAACAGGATCTGATTTTTTCCCATTTCACTTTTATGATTTGTCCAACTTATCCTGTCATGCAGACTCCAAGGCATCACTAAATCTATCTCGAGGTTTCCAACTTTCAGGCGCCGATTCGAGAATCTTGTCGACGCCATCTCCGATGATCTTGCACAGAATAGTAACGGTAGCAGCAAATCGAGCAGTGGACCTAGAACAGTTCCGAGGTCAAAGAGCGCCTTTGCCCAGCTCTTCAGCCAGAAATCCTTTAGTTTTAGCAATGCAAGCAATCATGGGACTGATCCAGAGTCACGGCTAGTTGTAAGAGACGTGACAATCACATAGTGAATATTGTGTTATAAGTAGTTATGTTTTTAGAGATCTCCTTGTTCATTCCGCAAAGATTTACCTTCTTGTTCATTGTTCATATACCGATAGGAAAGTATTTTCGAGTGTACGTATACATATACAAATGTAGTTTTCAACGTACTGTCATTTGGAAGTGTTTTTAAAATGACTGAAACTGCTTTTAGAGAAAAATGTTTTTGGGTTCCAAAAACAGTTGAAGTGCTTTTTGGAAAAACACATAAGTGGTGCGTTTTCAGGATTCACTTGCGTTTTTACTAAGGTTTGGTTCCAAAAACTTTTTCACTAAAAACACTTCAGTCATTTTAAAAGTATTTCCAGACGAGCAACCAAAACTTCATGTTCGAATTCATCCTCCTCCATATCTCCTATATTCCACCACCATCATTCTGAACGTGCTAATTGCATTACAAATTAGGAAAATTAATGAAAAAGAGTTTGAAAACTTTGAGTTTTAACGAAAATGACAAAATAAAGAGTAAAATAAATAGTACCAAGATTAACATTTTAATGTAAAAATATGATTTTTCGTTAAAATTAATAGAACCGAAAACTTTTCGTTAAAATTCTCTTAAAAATTTGACCGAGTCAAACCAAGTGCCCGGCTTTCATCCCACCCACGTAAACCTCCCACTAAGTGCTAGTGCAGTAACTAACTCTACCCCACTTCTATATTAAGTTATTAACCACCCTTCCCACCTCACACCATCTCACACGTTGCAGCCAGTTTTTGCTCGCATAAACAATTTTTCTCCTCGAGAGCTAAAAGAGCTTCTGAAAAAAGCACTTCCCAAATGGCTAACTTCAACTGCAACATGGTTTATCTGTTTTATCTGATGATGGTTTTCTTCTGGTTTGGTCATTTCTCGGCCTCCGCCTTCGAGTTCCAGGTTGGTGGAAACAAAGACTGGGTTGTCCCTCCTGCCAACGACACCAAAATCTACAACGACTGGGCCTCCGAAAACCGTTTCCAAGTCGGCGACACCATCCGTAAGTACAAACGTCATTGCGTGCAAAAAGATTCACTCCCACCACATCAAGTAGTTTAGAATATCGCTTTTGTTTTGTTCTGTGGGCTTTATGTACACAATGAAACGCAAGTTGAAACTTACTTCTAGTATATTAGAGTAGCTTAGAATATCGTTTTTACTTTGTTGTTACATTGTTTTGGTTTTGTAGGTTTTAATAATTAACTTTTAAGTACACAAGAAAACATGAATCTTCCTCCTAATATATTAGAGTAATTGAGAATATTTCCTTGTCACGAATTTTTTTTTTTTGTTGGTTTTGCAGGCTTTCACTACAAGAAGGATTCGGTGATGGAGGTGACGGAGGCGGAGTACAAGAAGTGCAACTCGACTCGCCCCAACTTCTTCTCCAACACTGGAAACACCGTTTACACGTTGGACCACTCGGGCTCCTTCTACTTCATCAGTGGAGCCGCTGGACACTGCGAGCGGGGACAGCGCATGATAGTTAAGGTGATGGCGGCGGAGGAGGAGGACTTTCCGTCTGGTGGCGACGCCAAAAGATCTTCCGATGCTGCAGTTTCCTCAGTTGGAGTCTTCAAGCATGTTCTTGTTCCGTTTGTTATGTCATATGCTGTTGCTTCTGTTATGTTCTAGTTTGATTGATTAAGTTTAGGGTTGTAATTTGTAGTCTTGGATGTTGATTAATTAGGGTTTTTATTTCTAGGGTTTTGTTTAATATTAAAACTATGTTAATTTTCGTTAAATTCGTACGTATATCATCTGTTTTCTTTGATCACTAGCTTTTGTTTAATTTGTGACATAAATTAGGGCGACCACAAGCCAACAAGACTTTTCTCGTTTTGTAAAGATTAGAGGAATGTCTATTGTATGCAGTAATTACCTTGCTTGACAAAGAGTCAATTTCTATTGACTCAAATCCGTGATTTTTCGGTCACAAAGGAATAACCTTTCCTTTGGACCAAGCCTCGTCCTCTCATTTTATGATCAAATAGAGGAAATTAAAGTATAAAAAAGAAACATACTTCTCATTCAAATTACTTTGCCACCTTTCTTCCTACAATTTAAATATGTATTAATCTACACAAAAGTATGGGGGACATGGAAAATTAAGTGTTTAAACTTCGAACAAGGATTAATCATCAAAAGCTAGAGATAATTCAATTACAATACTCAAATAATAACATTACTGATTCTCAGAAACACCAAAGCGTGGAGATCTTCACAAACAGCAAAACCATTTTTTCTGCATTCAAATAAGAAGCAACCATTGATACAAAACCCCCGAGAGAAGAACGAATACGAAATAAAATTAAAGTAACCAATTTCGTGGCAGACGTAGATTAGACAAGTTGGTTAGAGCAGTTTCCCGCCCTTGGCCCCTCGTAAACTAGAGTATAGTTCAACATATTGAGATTGAATAATGTTGTTAAGTTAATTACCTCTTGGGGATATTGATTGTTTATTGGTTTGGTTGAAGAGGGAGCCGGAGTCCCATTGTCAGGCGGCCCATTGGTCATCTTCTGATCTCTAGCTCTGGTAAATATCATAGTAAACCCTTCAGCTGATGCTGGGTTGTTCACATCCCAGTCTCCAAATTTAGGCAAGGGCCGTCCCATTTCCGGCTGCACAAAACACACACACATGAAAAATTATTAAGTGTCACCGGTTGTATACATTCATGTGTTTGTCCTTCTCAGCAATATGTGTTGCGTTGAGACAGACGGAATTGAGGCCAAAACATATAAACTCAGAAATGAAATGCAGATGCATAGGTTACTCACCGAGGCCATTCGCAGGAGGAGCGGCGTGCAAACGCAGAGATTCGGAGGAAGACGAGACTGGAAGAGAAGAAGAATGACGAGAGAGAGGAGGCGTGAGTTGTATGTGATAAGGGAGGAAGAAAAGGAGATCGTAGCTAAAGCTTGAACCAATGCAAATGGATGGCATAAATTGTGACGTGAGTAGTTAGTGGTTAGCATGTAGTTGTTCTGTCCATTTGTTGCAAATTCTTAACAATAAAGTCAAATAACACGCCCCCCTCATACTAACATAATCTTCCCTAACAACGTTGGGAGATTCTCGGCTATGTTCAGGTATATATGCTGCTCTTTTATCTCTCACATCACGTGACTGATAGTTATCTATTCTAAAATTAACATTCCCTCCCACTATTTTTAGCCTTTTAACATTTTCATCCACCTCCCACGCTAATTTTCAGATTGGGTGACTTCATGAAAAAAAAAAAAAAAAAAAAAACTAATTACAAAATACACCCGTGAGATTCGGAGTCAATTTCAAAAATTAACACAATATTTCTATTTTTTCACTTCGCTACTTGAAGTACTAAAATTTTAAAATTCAAATCGTTCTTGCATTTCAATGAAATCAGATATTTTTTTTGGTCTATACCGTGTCCAATGGGCGAAAAAAAGTTAGAAAAATGAGTGGTTTAAATTGTTAATAGCTTGATACTTTTGGTAGTTAGGTGAAAAACCTGAAAGATTATGTTCCTTTTTGAAAATTATTCCAAACTTCAAGGTGTATATTGTAATTAGATCAGAAAAAATCTATTTGCGTTTGAAGCATCAAAGTTGGGCCTCAGAGAAGGCAGATGAACAAGAGCTTGGGCCACAAGGCCCACAACCAGCCACGAGGCGTGGTTCAATCACTTTTCCACGTGGCAATCATCCATCGGTGGTTGCGTGGCGTACCCGCGCCTAAAATCAAACGACTGTTATACAATCGAACCACGCTAGCACCCAAAAACAAACGGCTCTTAATCGGACACGTCACCACTGAAACCCCAGGTGGCGCAGCAAATCACAACAGGAGATGTCAATTTTAAACATCAAAATGCTAGTTGATAGCTTACGTGTCAGGTTGACATGTTATACAATATTTTGCTTCATGTTAAATAACAATGTCATTTAATAATTTTTTTATCCTTTTGTGGAATGTAATGATTAAGGCAACCAATCAAATTTGACAGTAAAAGACTTTACCTTCAAATGACTCGGCACCATATAAAAAATTGAAGACTTGATTGAAGAAAGTTTACTGCTATTTTTTACTGTTGTATACGTACGTGACAATTTTAACATCTCATTTGTAGTCTATTCCTCTTCCTCTGGTTTCATATGCAATTTACAGATAAGCGCTTGTCAAATCGACACATCTCCTTTATAACCCATTTTGGCATTTCCGTCTTTTCCTAAATACGCCTGTCGTCTCCATTATCGTCTCCCACCGTCCCTCTCTCTCCCAAACTCTTTCTCTGAGCTCAGAAACGCAACAATGGCAACGGGGTTGATACGGAGGGCCATAGCTTCGGCGTCGTCTAGATCGACGGCGGCGTCGCTTCGTTATGTGTGTGTTCGGACCATGGCGTCGGAGGCTCAGGCCCAGCAAGTGGACCTCAAGGCCCGGGACAAAACGGACGTCAAGACCTTCTCAATCTACCGGTGGAACCCGGACAACCCAAAGAAGCCGGAGCTCAAGGAGTACGAGATCGACCTCAAGGATTGCGGGCCCATGGTGCTGGACGCCCTCATCAAGATAAAGAACGAGATGGACCCCACCCTCACCTTCCGCCGATCTTGCCGGGAAGGGATCTGCGGCTCCTGCGCCATGAACATCGACGGCTGCAACGGTCTGGCCTGCCTGACGAAGATTGCGCCGTCGGAGGCAGGCGCCACGATGATCACGCCGCTGCCGCACATGTTTGTGATCAAGGACCTGGTGGTGGACATGACGAATTTCTACAACCAGTACAAGAGCATCGAGCCGTGGCTGAAGCGGAAGACCCCGGCGGCGGAGCTGGATGGGAAGGAGATAAGGCAGAGCAAGAAGGATAGGGCGAAGCTGGATGGGATGTACGAGTGCATTCTCTGCGCCTGCTGTAGCACATCCTGCCCTAGCTACTGGTGGAACCCTGAGTCCTATTTGGGCCCAGCCGCCTTGCTCCACGCCAATCGGTACATTCATTTCTCTCGATTGTTCATCTGAATTTCAGAACTTGTTAGGGATTATTGTTTGATAGATTAACTTGATAATCTCTTTGATTTATGCAACTAATCCATGCTTAATGTGGGATGAATTGGTACATTAGGTTAATGTTTATGTGTTGGGTTGAACATTGATGGTACATTTTGCTGTTTGGGTACAAAAATTGCGTGATTGTTGTGTGTATCGTTTTGATTGGCAAGTTTAGTTGTGATTAGGGTTATCTGTATTTTGTGTTGAACGCTGGATACAACGACAACAACAAAGCCTTATCCCTCAAAGTGGGGTCGGCCTTATGAATCCTAAATGACCGAGAATAGTAGTTGTTTGTTCTTAACTCATGCTTTCTGGAAGAGTTTTCAGGAGCTAGTTACTTGTAAACTTGATGGAAAGTAGCAGAGAGCTGCAGTTTGTGTGCCGGAGCTCAGGGCCTAGGCTGTAGTGGTACTAATGAGATTGGTTTCGAAGGTGATGATACAGGTGCTGGGTGCCATCTTCAAAAGGCATTAACTTGACGAAAAAATTGTTTTCTAAAGAAGTAAAAGAGTAGCAGTTTGATACAATAATCCATGTTTTTCGGATTAGGATGTCTCTCAGAAACTAGAGGGCTGATTATGACCCTCGATTCTCAGCCATCTCGGTTATCTGTCTTTTGGTTGAACGCTGAATGACCGAGAATAATAGTTGTTTGTCCTTAACTTGTGCTTTCTGGAAGAGTTTTAGGAGCTAGTTACTTGTAAACTTGACAGAAACTAACATAGAGCTGCAGTTTGTGTGCTGGAGCTCATGGCCTAGGTGGTAGTGGTACTAATGAGATTGGTTTCGAAGGCGTTGATAAGGGTGCTGGGTGCCATCTTCGAAAGGCATTAACTTGACGAAAAAATTTGCTTTCGAAAAGTAAAAGATTAGTGGTACGATACAATAATCCATGTTTTTCGGATTAGGATCTCAAAACATTCTTAATTGTACTCATTCTTCTCTGCATATGCAGTTCCTGAGGTTGTACATTTTCGTTGTATATCCTTAGAGGTGAACGCTACATCTTGAGTCATTTTTGTGGTGTTATGCAGGTGGATAAGTGACAGCCGTGACGAATACACGAAGGAACGACTGGATGCCATAAATGACGAGTTCAAGCTCTACCGGTGCCATACCATATTGAACTGTGCTCGTGCCTGCCCGAAGGGTTTGAACCCCGGAAAGCAGATCCAACATATCAAGCAGCTCCAGCTGAAGCCCTAAGTTTCTGAAAGCAAATGGTGTGTTTTGTTTAACCAGTTATTCTGGGAATTTTTTTAGGATTCATCAGTTCTGTGGTTTGAGCAAATAATTTGTGAACTATTTGTATCTTTTATCCCTTTTATAAAATTGGGAGGAAAGCACGTTGTTCTACGTTGCTTTTGTTTATAAATAAGTACAAAGGTAAATTGCATATTTAGTTTTCAAATTATTACCTGAATAAAAATTAGGTTTCTAAATTATTTTTTTCGGAAAAATCAGTCCTGAAACTAATAAAAATTTGTTATTACATCTGTAATATTAGATCCGAAGTTATTTTATTCAATTGTTCATCGATTTAAAGCTCAACTCGTTTTGCATGACAGAAGCTCGTCTCGTTTTCTGTGAGCGAAGAAGCTCGCCTTGTCTTGCGTGACATGGTTCGTCTCGTTCTACGTGGGCTGAGTCCGTCTAGTTTTGCATGTGTCGAGCCCGCCTAACACCAGTGTTTTTTGACTAAAATACAAATTTTTTATTTTCGCAGAATATTTTTCATGAGCATTATGTTATATTTTTTAAGGAATTTAGAAGCAGTTTTACATTTTTTTTAGTACTAAATGTATATTTAGTAGAATATTTGAGCCGGAAACTAAAAAAATAGGTGAAAGACATAGTAGTGAGGCCCAGAACATTCTCAAATGGGGTTCGACACTCAAGAATCTCAACGGAAGGTCTCACCTTAATTTTCAAAACTTCACAGTGAGGCGAAGGTGAAAATAAATAGATTGAATGGTGATTTATATACGAATTTGCAAAACCGATTGAAAATCGTGATTATTAATCCATCTTTTTTTGTAAAAAAATGCAAATTTTTTATTTTCTCAAAATATTTTTCGTGAGCATTAAGGAAATCTTTATAATGCATTTGGAAGCAGATTTACAATTTATCAAGAAACAAATGTATATGTAGTAGAATATTTAAGCCAATAAGTAAAAAAAAAGTGAACAATATAGAGTTGTTAAAATTACATGTAGGTGAGGCATACACAAAAACTAGCAAAATTTTGTTTTGTTAAATAGTCTCTTACCCTCTGTTGGTTGACAAAAGAGAGTTATATTAATATGTAGTTTAGATTTAGATAAAGAAAAACTAACAAAAAAAAAGGTTCAAATATCTTTAAATTTAGATTTTAAATCGTTGATTACAAGTGTTTAAATACGAATTATAATAAATTTTGCATGAAAAAGTATACTTTTGTAGAGCATGAATATGATAGTTTGTTGTAATAGTAAGAGAAATAAAAGAAAAATGTACAAAAATAATTCAAATTCTTCATTTAGCTAGCCTCGGTTTGCGCGACGTATCCCTCCTCATTTTCCTTGTGTGAAGCCTGACTCGTTTTCTGAGCACCCAGGAGTTCGCCTCATTTTGCGTGTGCAGAGCCCGCCTTGTCTTGTGTGCTTGAGTTTGCCTCGTTCTGCACGTGAGGTGTCCGCATCGTTTAGCGTCCATGGAACCCGCGTTGTTTTGGTGGCACAGAGCCAACCTTGTTTTCCGTGCACGGAGCTCTCCTAGTATTGCATGCCAGAAGCCCGATCCGTTTTCTATAGGCAAAGCCCGCCTTGTTTTGTGTGCCATGGTTCGCCTTGTTTTGCGTGCGTCACGTCCATCTAACACCCATGTTTTTTACGGTTCAACCGAATTTCGTATCAACAGTAAATTGCTTGGCTTCTATGTTGA